TGGAATCCAGAGGAATGAACGCAAAAAGGGAACTTTGTGAAATCAAACCAAGTTGACTCTTGGAATGTAGAGTTGGTGTCATTCTCTGTATTTCCTTGGTGGATCTGGTCTCTGTCCCAAAGCATAAACATTACAATGGATATTTTAATACTGCACTTTAAGCTGACTAATATCCATTGTAATATATTTTCATATGATCAGCCAAGGTGATCAGTGCGAGGAAGAAGAGGACTCAAATATCTACAGCCAAAGGTATAAGCTTCTCTTGCTAATGTTGAGACTCAGGTGTGTTATCTTGGCTGTGTATTCCTTAACTTGCCATTGTGGATGGGAGCCCCATAGTGGGTTAGACCCATAGTGGATTAGTTGTGGATGTATTTGCTGTCCATTACTCAGCCTCGGCAAAACACAGAAGTTTCATAATGGCTTTTTTTGTGACCCCATATTTCTGTGAGTTGTAGAGAATAGCAGGAGGCTTTGAAGCACAGTTCATCTCACCATTTAACATAGCGTAATTGAGGTTTAGGTTCATCTTCTCTAGCTTAAATTCTGTGAAAGAAACAAATACATGACCAAGTGTTGCCACCACTGTGGCAAGTCCCCTGGATTTTGACCCTGCTTCTACTCCCATTGAAACCAATGGCAAAACTTCTGTTGACTCTAGATTCTCACTTTGCTGTAATGTGATGATAACAAGCTTCAGTGAAGTAAAATGATGTTTCATTTTTCACTTATAAAATAGTAGTGTTTAGTGTCATCAGAACAAAAACTCTTAAAAAGACATGCTAAAATTACAGCATTCAAAAGATCTCATTTGCAAATTGGAATGAGCTGTATCATTAGAAAAAAACTTTTCATTTGCAAGAAGCAGTTAGGAAGTGCTGTGCCATCCAAATTCTTAATTAAGAAGTAGAACAATCCCTTTTCCCACTTGCTCTTCCCCGTGTCTTATTGTAACTTTTCTTTTTTCCTACTGCAAAATTTCATATCAAAAGCAACGTATGATTTATGTCTCTTTCCGTAAAATCCGGACAAATAAAACCCCAGCAGATAGCTTATATTTTAATGTGTGTAGATCTTATTCTGGACAGCATGCTCTACACACCCCTCTTTACTCACCGAGCGCAGAGGAGGAGGCTGGCATCACCGCGCTGCGCTCCCACACGTGGCTCTGTGGCCAGCGCAGCTGATAATCCTGAGGCTGCCTGGGAATGCGTCTGCACAATAGCAAAGTGCCTGATCTAAAGGCAGGAACCTCCTACCCATGGGCGAGAGAAGCCTACTAGACCTTTTCTCTACATGAGGGCAAAATCTGAGACACCTTTTAAAAAGGTGTAGGTAGGTGGCTGGAGGAGTGTGAGTGCCCAAGCAGTTAAGGCACTCAGTTTTTGGGAATGCCTCCTGAATATTTGGAGCTCAAAACCAGTGCAGAAAGAGGGGAGGAGCACATTTTCTGGAGAGCATAAAGGAAGTTATCAGCTTTCATCTGAAAGTGTTTGGTGACTGTGAAATAAATTAAGTTAATACAAAACTCGTTTTTTACCTAAAAGTGAAACATCAATGAGTAAAGCTGAAATTGCACTTCTGTTTTTGCTTTGTCCCCTGTAGATAATGAGGCATCTTTCAGTAAGTCTAAGCAGGAGGGAAATATGGGTTTTGTGGCATAAAAATACACTTGGTGCTGATGGAAAATCAGCATACTCCCAGTTGCACTCTCCTTTGAATGTGCAGATAACTGTCACTCCCCACTTTACCCTTCAAACTGAACTTTCACATGTTTGGGTAAAAATTCTATCCTCAAGGTCATGGGATTGAAACTATGCTGGACTGGGAAGCAAGCACTCTAGCAAATGCGATGGGCATTTTCGCAGCCCTTCTGATGGAGGACAAGGAAAGCCTGCTTCTGTTTTGATCAGCACTTCATGTGTCACATAAAAATTTGATGTTGTTCAAAACATTATTGATGCCTATGAAGAAAGAACAGCCTCTTTTCCTTTCATTAGCTGTCATCACTAATGAGAAGCTGGCACTGCTTTATTTAGGTTTTAATGGAGTTGAGGTTCTTGGTCATCTTTTCTGGTTTGTTTTTGTGGCATGTGTATCACTGCAGGGTGGGAGAACGAGGTGCTCTGATGGTAATTTTGGAAAAGTTTCTCTGCCTTGGTTTTTCCATTATTGAAACTGGGCAATTATGTTTATGTTCTAAGTGTATCTGTTTGCCGTCTTTTATAAAGCTGTTTATTTTTTTCTGGCTTTTAATTGTGACCAACAGTAACAATTAGTGACTCATTTAGTAATTTAACTGGAAACCTTTCTTAGATTTATTTTGCTCATGATTGTCTCTTACAAATAAATTATATTCTACAGTGCATTGTAACATAGCATTTTTTTTCACAAACAAGTAATGATTTAGAGAACAATCTTTTATTAATGTTTTACTTTTAGTACATCATTCATACTAATGCATGTCACATTATAAAGTCTTTATAACTACTCTGAGAATATCAAATAAGACAATTTATTTCCTGAAGTTATTTTTATGGTCTGTTTAAGAGCAATATGCAGACATACCTGAGTACATATAATTGTGATGTTGTGCATATTCTTCCTTTAGTGATGCTCAAGCACCTTATTTAACACAGTAGTCAGAATTTATGTTTAATGTGGGAAGGGACGCCGGGCTTTGTGGGATGAAAAAACCCCTTTGAGAAAGATAATAAAGATAAGCAGTCGGACAAAAAAGAACCAGCCAGCAGAGAAAGCTATATGTTGGAAGTCAAAACTATAGGATTAAAGTGATAACTACCAAAATTCAAGCTGAGGATGTTAAAGCAAATAGCAAAAGGTTCTTTGGTTATAAAAATAAAAAAAGAGAGAAGTGATGTTCTGTGGAATGAGTGAGGTGGCCATCAGAGATAATCCAGCTATAACTGTCAAACTAAATTAATACTTCATCTTGGTTTTCAGTAAAGACAATGATATTATTAGGAAATCTTTTTAAGTCCTCTATGTGATGTTTATCTGTGATTTATTATCTAACTCGTCATCTGTGTTTAGGAAAGATGCATTCAGATTGGAGCAGGATAATGAATAGCTAGGTTGGGGAAGAGGTAGAAGATCTAATGTGTTTACAAGTAGTAAAATACAGGCTGAGAAGGGGTTATGATTATTGTCTAGAGAGTCCTTTGGGATGGTAAATAGTACTGAAGGAGAAGTGCTGCTTCAGCTGAGTGATGTCATTGTCACATGAGTAAATTTCTACAAATTTGCTATGACTTTTAGACTGGGATTGAGAAAGCAGATTGCTAGTTGTCAAAGCAGTGAGCAGAAGGAGCAAGAAACACAAAAACCTGACTGTTCTTTAAGATAATGCTCAACGAATCAATGGAAGGATTATGTGGTACGGTTCCTGGTGATAAGAGGCATGGAATTGATAATGCAGAAGGTGTCTCCCAGTCCATGTTCATCTGTGAAAAGTCATTAAGCGTTAATCTCACCTCTTCCCTCCCTTTTATCCTTCTGCACCTGAAATGGAATGTGTTTTTTTAGGTGCTGAACCATCATAACCTCTGTTGAGCACAACTAGCTAGGAACTGGACACAGCAAATACAGGATTTTTTTTTTCTTAGCGTGGAGTCTCTCAGGTGAGGACAGCCACCTTTTCCTGAGTTGAATGAAGGAAAGCATATTATTATCAGCGTTGGGTTTTCATGGAAAATGAGTGTTTGCAAAGCTGGGAAGAGTTCTGTTTGTTCAGATCAAGTAATTTGAACCAGCATCAGTAATACAAATTAGAACAGCTTAAGAAGTGGTTTGGAGCTGTTCTACCCAGTTGTCATAAAAATGCTCATCTGGTTTTATTTATTCATTAAGTGACTCCATTACAGATTTAACTTCCCCCATTTTACTTCTTTTTTATTTATTTATTCATTAAAGCTGCTTACTTAATTAGGGGCAAAAGGGGAACAACAGAGTTATAATGAATATGTAAAAAGCCCCAAATTCTTAACTTCATTCTACTCCTACTGATACCAAAGCCAACTTTGTTTTAGTAGCAATAGAAGCAAGTATTAAATATCGTTTAGTTAGAACATTGAGATTAGACCAAGAATGCCTGAAATACGAATTCAGTCTAAACATTTTCTGGGATGTTTCTGTATTGCTTTAACAGGAATAGTATCTTTAATGTAGATATATGTTAAAATCTTAACACCTCACACTCTTCAGTGCTGAGCTACCTTCGGTACTAGCATGACTTAACCTCTGCACCTGGCTTTCCAGACAGTGGAACTTGGGTGTGGGGTGGGCATGGCATGAACACCAACCTTGTCTATACAGACAGTGGGGGTGAAGCTGTCATGAGTCAAAGGTTAAATGTACTTGAGTGAAGTAATACATGCTTTGTCAGAGGAACTAAGGGATGGACACTTAGGGATCCTCAGGTTATGAAAAGCATACTTGTATGCCTTGCTTGTTGTGTTTTAAATGTGATCTGAATGTAGCAGTGCGTCTGGAATCTAAGAAAGCTTAAGTTGGTTTAAAAAAAAATCTGACTTAGAAGTCTGACAAAGCAGATGCCCAAAGTGCTTGCAGGAAGAGTGGTATTCTGATAAATTCCAGAAATAAAACATGAAGAGTTTGAAAACAGGTCACTTCCAAGACTACTAGGGAAAGCAGGCCTGTTTTCTTCCATGACTGAATGCTGCAGGAGGACTTAAGTATTCCCTGTCAGGACCTGAGCACCACCACCTTTGAATATGACTTTCTCAGCTTAGCTTCCTCATCGCCCACCGGCTGCTTCATTTCGCTGCAGTGGTGGGCAGATTGCTTTCCATAGGCAACATGTGATTTGACAATGAAGTTTCGCAGTGTGTTTTGAGTAATGATGGGAGATAGAGGTAGCCCCAAATATCGAAAGATACAAGCCATTCCTTCAGATCACTGAGGTCCCATTGCATAAGTAAATGAGCATTGTCTTTACTAACTGTTTTGTTCACTAGGTGATGACAATTCTGGAAGGAAGGTGATTACCTTCAGTTGCTGCCGTATGCCCCCCTCGCATCAGCTCAATCACACCAGGTTGTTGGAGTAAGTTTCTCTCAGTCTCCTGTGTGGACTACTTTACATTTTTTTATGTGAACTTCTGTTAGCTTGTTTCCATATGAATGATCTTTCAGGGAGGAAAAGCAGGAGGCAAGGGGTGAAATGAAAAAAGGATGTAAGACCTACTAGTGTTAATATTAAGTAAATGAGATGTGGATGAAACTGAGTTGCTTCACCTGCAATCTTGATTAGAAGCAGCAATTCACTGTGTACTGAAATTAACTTGTTTTGATTTTACTAATGAATTCTGATTGTATTTAAAAAATGGAATTTATGATGAGGACCAGTGAAAGAGAAATTCTAGTATTTTAGTGCTCTGTACGTATGTTCTCATGAATAGTAGTGTTTTCCTTAATTTGTTATACTTTATCTGCTAAATCACTCAACAAGAGCATTGGTTAGTTATTTACATCTTAGTGGTTTTCCTCTTTTATAAAAAGAGCTGTATTATGTACAGTATATTAGGCTGAACATTTTTATATGTCTCTCACTTTGTAATGTTCGAGTTTTGTGTTAAAAGAGGCTGTGAATGCGTAAAATCACAACATTCTTCCTTACAAACTTGCTGCAGCAAGGTACCAGGACATGTTTCCACCTTGTAGTTTGTCACTACAAGGAGATCTATTGTGTCATGAGAGTCCTGTCCTTATTAAGCATTTTAAACCTATCTGGAGTTCTTGTACAGCCTCCACTGCCAAAATGTTTGAGCACCTTTCAACTGTCAGTACCCACAACCTTTAGAAAGGACCGAAGTGCTGTTACCTCAACTTTTCAGAAACAGAGAGGGATTTAGAAGGCAGGTTATTTAAGAGATGTGTTTGAGAACATGTTGCTTGATTTCTGTGCTCTTCACACCTAGGGTGTTTCCACAGCCTTAAGCCAGAGCTTCCTATGTAGCATAGAGGGAGTGTTAGCACCTAGGAGGAAGAGCCACACAGGTCAGCTCCTCACCTAGAGGAGCTACGTGCCGTGATTAATAGGAAATGCCAAAGAAAGGAGTGTGACAAACCACGTTGCTACCAGATCTAAGAACCTTTCCACAGTTCTGCGAGGAGGCGCTTTGATGCAACTAGGATTTCCAGCCCTTAGACTCCTCTGGATTTGAACACTTAGATGTTTTCCTGTAGCTGAGCCCACATCAAATTCGCTTGGAAAGTCTGTGCTAACAGAGAACTGAAGGCAGGTGTCTGAATGTGAAACTAGCAATATAACTATCAAGTGATCTGCTTTTGGGTAGTTGGACCCGGATGTTGAGTTGAGAAAAAACTGCAGAGGAGGCCTGGATTGGTAGGTGTTCTGTGATGAAATCACTTTAAGAATTGATTTGGTAAATCTTCTGTAATGTCCCTGCAATTCTGTTAGAGCCTTGGAACAGATAATTGACTGTACAAAAATACTGGTTATTTTATGCCTACAAAACTCTTAATTATTTTTAGAAATACAGGCCTTCTTCTATGCAATGTGCCAAGGAATTTACATGCTATAACATAAAACATGAGGCACTCTGTATGTAAGAATATCTGTTTAGATATATTTTAATTTCAAACTCTTTTTTAGAAAGTGTTGAATGACTCTTAGAACTACTGCTTACATTAAAATACCATTAATACTTAAGTCAGGGATCAAAACAGCATTATATTAAATGCAGTTGCCGTCCTTGTCCCAGGCTCTTCACAGTCTTAAGATTTGCAGTATGCTGAGGGAATAAGCAGATAAATGAGACTGTGGGAGTATAGCGTAAGAGTAAAGTTATGGTCTTTTCCATGCAAAAGTGGATAGCCAAAGTGGCCTTGATACTTGCAGATATCCACAACCTAATAAATGGCACATGGAACTACCTATTATATTGAATGAAAATTGCTTACACACAATTAAGAGCAATAGCTGTGGCTCTGTTGCAGAATAATAAGATAGCATTGAGAATGACATGAGAAAGTTGAAATCTGACACAGCAAGAGATGAGGCCAAATTGTACTCCTCTATCGTTGATTTATTCGAATCGTTGAGCTGTGTAATAGGGCATACAGTGTTCTCAATTGTAGGAGAAAGGGGAGAGAAAAGCATCTTAAACTATACCATAAAAGAATGAACACACAGAAATCTGCTTATAAAACATGCAGTATTATTTCAAGATGGGATAAGTAATGTAGTTCTTTAAATTAGTTTTGAGGGAAATGATCTATGAACACAGTCCTCACAATACAAGCAAGGGAAAGGGCAATATATTCAAGAAAACAGTTTACAGTAACAAGTTGTAATTGGCAGTAATTAGGGCTAATGGATTTTTTAAGAACTTAAAAAGTTTTAAGTTGAGAGGAAAACCCAAGATTTATTCTTTATTATTTTGAAAAGTTGAAATGACAGTGTTTGCTTCACTAAAAGGAATGAGTTTACAAAGACCAGAAGAAAGCAAAATAGAAGTAGCTGTCAGTTAAGATGTATATTTTTAAAATGTTCTTGGAAAACACAGTCCCATGTTGCCTTCGTCTTTTAGTGATTCATGAGCACCATAGCTTTTACATTCTTTCAAATTTCAGGCTTTGCAGTGATGTGGAATTATTAGCAACAGTGCCACTAGAGGAGGATGAACTTGTTAGATAAATACATTGAAGCAGATGTGAATTTGCGGTCACTAGCCTACTGTGCAAAAAATAGCACATTTTGTTTCTCAGTTACTGCTTTAAAAACTGCTTAAAACTAAAATGTCATCTTTCTCCTCAGGTACTTAAAGTATACTCTGGACCAGTATGTAGAGAATGATTATACGGTTGTCTACTTTCACTATGGCCTGAAGAGTCTAAATAAACCATCTCTGAAATGGTTACAAACAGCCTACAAAGAATTTGACAGGAAGTACATCTCCAAAATATTTGGTCTACTCTTTCGGTTGTATAATGTCTGTAACTAACTTCCATGAAGGAAGCATATCTTTCCTGATCCACCCACAGCTGAGTTCGTTTTGCTATTGCAAATTCTTGTAAGGATAATGTTGCTGTTGGTTGTCTTTTAAGTGTCTTCTGTGCAGTGCTAAGGAATGACCTGAGTGCTGCAGCGGTTATCCAAAGTTATAAAAAGCCTTGGGAACAAAACCAAGAGCCATTGCCTTTTTTGTGCATTATTTAACAAGATACCTGTGATATCTTATTAGTCATCATTCTCAATTATCTCACAGTCATCTTTGAACCTTTGGTCATCCTAAGGTTATTTTGTATACAAAAAAGGAGAGATTAGTTTTTAACAGTCTGTACCTCACAACCCTCGCAGTGTTTTTTGGTTGCTATATGCGAAGCCCCAAGGGGACCACTGTGCTCGTATATGCCTGACCTTTGGCGTAATAATGGCTACGGCTCATGGCTTTCATGTTTTAGTTGGTTAGTGTGCAGTTGAGACCAAAGCTCCAAGATAAATAGCATTTTAACAGTGTTAAACTAAAGTTGTGATGTTTATTCTCTGAAAAATGCATACTTACCAGTGGAGCTGAAAGTTCCTGTTGAAGTCGGTTAGTCTTGTTTGCGAGTTGTTACTTGATCTACTTGTTTGTAAGGTGGCCTCAAGAGTGCAACATGACTGAAAGCAAAAATATATACAAACAGTTCTTTCGTGATAGTGAAAGTGTATGTGCTTGTGCATTTTGGGGGCATGGATCATACATGTCTGATCTTTTCATTTTCGGTGCTGGAACAAGAAGCAAAAGATGCCGTGAAAAAGATTATTGGGTGTTTTATAGACTAGACTTGGATATAAATGCCTGAGCATTTCACAGGACTGCACACCCTGTTTTGAAAATTGAAGTTGAGATGTGCACAACACTTCTTGGTGGTCTAGTGCCAGAGCTCAGACTCTTGAATCTCATCCAATAACCTCCTGAAACTCTAAAACCCACTAAGCAGGATGAGGTTGTGCATAGCAGCCCTCAGACCTGCAGTGGGAAGCTGCCACCTGAAGCCTCTAACTGCTTTCAGGAGATACTGCTCTCCACTCAGCAACAGACTGAGAAAGCTTTTTGGTTTTGCTAGTAGGTTTCTGAATATGGTTGGTACAATAGATTTGTTTTTTTCTGGGATTGGGTAAGGGAGAAGAAAGGTAAAGGATCTCTTATATTTTGTCTTTGGTGAGAGATTTGTACTACAATACTGTGTTTTTGCTGTACACCGACAATTCCTGAAAACAAGCACTGTATGGAGTTGGAAGCCTACCCTACTGTACCGTTTTCCTTCTAGGAGAATCCCAAGCCAAATTTACCATTGCTGAATGAGGAGAGGCAGTATGAGGGCAATATCTTCTTCAGTTTTGTTGCCTTCTGACATGCGTGTGTCTCAAGTGCACAAAGTCACTCCCATTTATGCCAGAAATCTGTTTTCTCTGTTCTTCCACTCTGATCCAGAAAGCAGGAGAACTAAAGAAGAACAGAGAATCCCAGAGAAGCCGCTGCAAAACCAGGCAACCATACACTCATCATTTTATTCACAGCCAGAACTTCTTAGCATACTGTCATTGAGAAGCTCAAAGCAATATTCATAGCCCAACATGTATGTTCTGCTGTACTAGCCAGAGGGGGGGAAAAAAAAGCACCTTTCAGACTTCTTCCGTGTTTGTGTTTTAGGTGTCAAAGGAAAGAGCGAAAAAAGGAGACTACAAGAGACGATAGTAATTAGCTAGCATCATGAAAGCAAACGTTCAACAGGAATAGTTTCAGAAGAATAGACTTTGCTTTGAAGGTTTACAGCGTAGGCTCAGTAGCATCTTGTGGGCATTTAATTGTAATCTAGGAAACTATGAAGCACACAAACTTCCACAGAAGCAACGTCTTACGCCCATTGCTTCAAAGTACAAAACAAACTTAAAATGGAAACTTCAGTAAAGCAACTCAGGTGTTTTGCTTGTTAGTTTTTATTGTTGATTTTGGATTCTCATCCACAGTGGTGCCAATTGCACAGGGACAGTTGTTTGCTTGTGTATGATAGTGGCTTTGTGAAAACAGTGCCTTTTTTGTTCAAAGATGTATGGGCTGAGTTAAAACCCAAAAGGAGAAACTGTTGTAATTGCTGAGTTGGTTCCTTTTTCCCCTCTTACCATAACCTATTACAAGAGGATTTTTCTTAGGAGTCTATGACCATTTTTTTCCATGATCATTGTTTTTCTAACAATGAATGGTGAACACTTGGGAGGGGCGCTTCCTACTGGGAAGCAAACTTGGCAAAGTAATAAGCAACAATATATATATAAAAACAGGATATTTCATTATGCATTTCTCAGTTTCATTTTGCAGTAATGTTGAATAAGAGCAGTCTTTTCATGCAGCCTAGTTTCCATTTCAGTTGCAGCCTGCTAGAATCTACTTTTTGTGTATCAAGATAGGACGCTGTAGAATCAAGCAATGCTATAACGGGGAAGGGTTTTTGTTTCATACAAAGGGGACCATCCAATGTAAAACAGTGTGCAGTTGACTTCACCTTTAGTAATTACTAGCAAAACAAGACAAAAGTAGTGATAAACATTTTCTCCAATGTGAAACTCATGTAAGCAGAAAATAAAGGGAGATCAAGGAAAATAATTTTTTATATCACAGAATTCTTTATAGACTCTTCATTCTCTTCTCAATTTTTTTTTTCAAGTTGCCTAATTTCTCCTCTGTCTCCCTGATATTAAATCTATGAGACAGCAGACATTGGTTAGGAACGTAATTGTGTTATCAAAACTGACCATTTTTTAAAGTTAAGTTTTTTTCATTTTACATTCAGTTTCTTCTGAATTAGGTCTTTTTAATGCATTTGAAAAGAATGCTATGTAATATTTCTGTAATAATACCTCCCATTCAGTTGTAGCTGTTCAGTTCTACTGTCTGTGGTATTCAAAAGTCTGCTAACAATTTCATTTTCTTTTCCTAGGTATAAGAAAAACCTTAAAGCACTCTACGTTGTACATCCAACCAACTTCATAAAAATTCTGTGGAATATCTTTAAACCTCTTATAAGGTATTTGGCAATTTATTCAACACATTTTACTGTTTAGTTTAAGGATCGTTTGTTCTCTAATAAGTTGCTTTTATGAAGGCTTGAGGTAAAATATGTCAGGTAACAGCACAATACCCATTTAAACTGTCTTGACCTAATGAGTAAGGTGAGTGTAAGCTTGAGTATGAATAATAGTTCTTTCCTTTTGAAGAGAAGGGAGTCTCAATTCATAACAGTTTTACTGGTATGTTAAAATAAATATCACTTTAAAACATAGTTATTCTGTGGATTATGAATGACTTTGTTGTCCTGTTTGACAGCACTTTAGCACAATAGAACTGGGTCCGTAACTGGAGTTACTAGGTGGGATGGTAAAGCAGATAATAAATGGTTAACCTTTAGTCTGATCTCAAGTGCTGAGATGAATAGGAATGTTGCTACTTGTGTGTTTAAGGTTAATGGATAAGCCTTCAAGTGCCCATAAGAATTTGAGATGAAGGCTATAATTGTGAAGGTAGATGTATTTTACTGGTGCATTCTTTTTCTTTGCATGGTAAAACTGATGTTACCTACAAGGAACCAGCAACAATGGGCAGATATTGCTAAGTGCTAGGATGGTTGGGCTTTCTTATTTTCTGCTCCTGAACCTTTGTCACTTTCAAAGTAATTCTAACATTTTGCAGATTATATTATGAATGTCCTCAGGGCTGAAGGACGAAAACAGCTTATCTTGAGAAGCCATAATGAACCAACTAAAAATGTCTAGTACAGTAACTTGCAATTGATTTAATTACTGACTGGTAGAAAGCTAATTAATTTGAAAGGGGAAGTTTAACTTCTAGACAGATCAGAACATGTAAGAAGCATGTGAAAATAAAAAAGTAATTACAGCTAAAACGCATTCCAGAATATGCTGTTCTTGAAATGAGAAGATGAACTATTGATCTTTATTTTTAGCTAGCAGTCAAATAAATGCCAGAGATCCAAGACATAGACCAATGGTGAGAAAAGTGTGGCAGAAGCAGGAGGTCCAGCAGCTGATTGTACCTCAGGAATGGGGATGGGGTTTTTTTGTTCCCGATTTGCTGTAGGATGGATATGGAGAGCTTTCTAGGAAAAAAAAAAACCACAAAAAACAACCAACAATAAAACCAGAAAAACAGAAAAATTACAACACTTAGGTGAAACCAACTGCTATCTCAGAAGCAGATGAGAATTTGTTGGGAATAGCTCCAGGCAAGTGGTTTTGGGACACCGAAGGTTTTCAGTCTGTGTGTGTTAATTTTAGTCAGTGGAACCACAGCTGGACAACAGTCATGCTGTTTGACTTAGCATAATGACTGGCTGCTAATTCTTATGAAAGAAAAATGTACAAGTACCTGTTCCAAATACTCATTTTCCCTGGATCTTACTATGTCTGTGTAAAGAAGATGAATACTTTTTTTCTTGGAACAGTATGATACACTGGCAATTAAATCCTCGTTGACTTTGGATGTGAAAATGAGTGATCCTGATAAGCTTAAGCATTCATATCTGGCCTAGAAAATTCAAACCAGAGCCTGTCATCTGAAATGCATCATCATCTTGACCTTCTGAACACCCGGCTTTCATCAGGATTGGCCGTTCTTGTTTGTGCTTGACTTTCATCAGTGTGTACCTGGGTACTTGATTTTAGTCTTGTGAGTAGACTCTACTTGAGTAGAGTGATTTAGCAACACTCTACTCTCTGTTGTTAAAATACATGATCAACAGAAACAAAGATATTTGTACACTGGCACTGACAAAATAATTGAAAGTATGAGTAAACTCTGGAAAGGTCCGTCCATAAGCCAGAAGGCAGGAATTAGTGGAAGCTGGGAAAAAAACCTCTTTACTGCTTAAAATGATTTAATTACTGAATGCTCACATGCATTTGTGCCTTAGGTTGACTCAAGTTTGGGTTTGTCAGGTAAAGGAAAAGGTAAGGATACAATTTTAAAACTGAAGTGTGAAAGTGCCCATGTACAATTTGCGTAAATTGTACTCTCATTGCATACTAAAACTTACTAACATTGTTAATTTTCTAGAATACTACAATTTTTAATTTGCTCACCATACCTCTTCCAGTTTAGAATAATCTTATTGTAGCAGATCATGCTTTTCTTTAAGTGTCAATATTAAACCAAAGTTCACAAAAGAAAGGAGAATAATCCTTCGGACTTTGTTTCCCAGCTTTGCTGAATTATAGCCCAGGCTCATTTTTAGTGTTTCCAATAAAAATCACAGATGTAAAATAAATTTCATTACCAGGAAACATATATTTATTTTTCAGAGATCTGTTGGTACATTTTGTACCTGTTAGTACATGGCCTAAGTACTTCTACATGAAAAATGTTGTTGCTAAGAAGTGGATAAATGACAGAATTATTAGAGTGAAGAACAAAAGTAGTAAGTCTTTTAGCATACTTGTATTTGAAAGTATTTAAGAAAAAGTAAATACTTTAAATTTTTCAAGCTCCAGAAGTTGATTGATCTCCTTTCCAGTCCCAAAAGAGGTGAACAAGAAGGTAATGTGTTGTGTCATGTATTTTCTCCAAACTGCAAAAAAACTGTACGAAGAGCACATTTCTATGTGTGAGCTAATAGAAACCACCCACCTGTTATCAAAATAATATACATTTAGGTGGTGGTGATGATGTGGCATTTTTAATGAACAGCAGTAATTCCTAATTGCCCACAACTTGGTTACGAATTACGTGTTCTGTAACACGTCCTGTATCAGAGGTGACTCACAGGTGAGTTAGAGAGTTCTGTGCTAGCCCATGGCTTAGGTAAAATGTTGAAATTGCAGGCTGCTTTGGTTAAAAGACACACTGAAGAGCTTTGAAGTTGTACGTGTGCAGACTGATATCCTTCAGTGTCCCAAAATTGCTTGCCTCTTATCAAAATTTAGCTCATTTAAATTAAAAGCTTCTAAAATGCTGGAATGACTTCTATTTATACTATCTTCCACTAGAGGGAGTGTGTGTATGTGTATTTGACAATCTAGGGATAAGTACATTAATGCAAGAGAATTTTTCTCCATTTTTACTACCAAAGTAAGTTGCAGTGAAGTACAGTTTTTATCACAACCACCTATTATTTTGCTTGACACTTCATTACAGAACAGATATTTTGTGTTGTGGAAAAATATGAAATTATTTCACAGCATGCATACAAATGTGTTGCTGAACATTGTTTGAACACCTCAGCCAGTAAGTAGTGTATTCTGGCTGAAATTCAAGACCTAACTAGTGGTACTTGGTGCTTCAAATTTGGAAGTCTGTTTTGTACAACTCAGAAAAAACTTACTATTCGGGATATTTCCTAGAAGCTATGTGGCCTTTTTTCAAAATAAATAAAGCTGATGGCCCAACACTTCAAGGATATATACTATCCAAGCTTTGAAAATCTTGCCTGTCGCTTACTACTTTATAGTTTGTGTCTACAGCCCCATTATTTTGTCTTTTGGCAGGGAGAGATATCTAAATAACACAAACATGTTGTTCTGTTGGCTGTGTAACATTTTCTCCGAAGTTAACAGATCTTTTAGTGAGCTTTCTAATGCTGCTTGAAAGCTGTTTTTCAGTGGCTTTTAAAGCAGTGTTTTTCATATCTATGCAAATCACAAAACATTCAGATGGAAGTCAGTTATTTTTATTCAAATCAGACTCCCAGGCATGCACTGTATATGTTTGATCATATGAAATGAAATACATCTTATGTCTCCTGCTGCTTCAATTACAGTCTAATTTTGAGTTGCATCAGCACTTACATTTTTGTAATAGAAACTAAACCCTTCGTAAATGTTCCTCCCATGCTGATTTTTATACTTCTTTGTGAAGTTTGGTTTGTTGTTGGTTTTGTTTTTTTTTTTAAGCCATAAGTTTGGGAAAAAAATCACCTACTTGAACTATTTGAGTGACCTGAGAGAGCATCTCAAATATGACCAGCTAAACATCCCTCAAGAAGTCATCCGGTACGTGGCAAGTTTAAAATACATTATTTCACCTTTTCTTGGGTAGAGCTGCATCCTGTTCACTGTATTCCAAGCACAATCTAACCCTATTTCTTCAATGATTAGAAATTTAATTTACCTATTTGTACTTGGTTGGATTTAATCCTGAAAGCTGCATGCTATGAAAGACATGCTGAAGTGCATCAGGTGTTTAGAGAAGAGAATGCTGTGTGGTTTTCTACAGCTTTGCAACATCTCCATCTCAGTTGTGGAGCATTTTCTTAGTATAATTGCAGATTCTGTGTGAGTGTTAGCAAAACCAATCCATATGTCATTACTGTGTGTGAGTAGCACTTAATGTTCACAGGCAAAAATGTAATCCTGACCTCTTTGCTTGCATATTGTCACAGATTAAGGGACTTCCTTTTACTAAGAGCATTCCCAGTCAGCAAAGTGTTGATTGATTTTAAAATTGATGGATATGTCTATTGTTAACAGATACATTACTTTTATATTGTGTGCGGATGTGTGTTGGGGAGGAGTATTGGTGAGGGGGTGGGAGAGGAAAAGAAAAAGAAACGCATAGGGCTGGAATTGTCAAGTGCCAGTATTAGTATCAGTAACAGTCTTTTCAAAACAGGGCTTTGCATGGAAATGCTTTGATGTACTGACAGGAAGTGATTTTATGTCACTGCTGAATGAAAGTAACTGGAAGCTTTGATTATGACTGTTATTGATGCCTGGTGGGTTTTACACACCTTTTGTGTAAATATGGAATAACAGAAAATACCTCACAGCTCTAAGGTTATAAATTGGATGGCATGGTTGCCAAAGAAAGGAGAATTGTATTTTCAGCAGCAAACAGGTTTGAATTTTGCTGGTAAATTATCGTATGTGCCTATTTTTTGGACACAGTTATTGTTATACTCCATTGGCTGAAGCAAAAGAGCTCTTCTATGTCTTGCTTAAGTATTCTACCACAAATACTACTTAACAATTGCCCTAATGCTTAAATTAAATGCAAGTTCTGTAAGACCTGCAGCATACACATTATTGTCAGGACATCAGCATCTTGAGCAATACTAGCCCAAGGGTCCTGCACCTGGGTTGAGGCAACCCCC